TAAACTTGGTGAAAGTATCTGCTGCATATACTGGTCTCTAATATCTTAAAAGAGTCACCAGATTTTTTTGGTTTTTGTTTTGAGTTGGAGTTTCACTCTGTTGCCCAGGCTGGAGTGCAGTGGCATGCTCATGGTCACTATAGCCTCAACCTGCAGGGCTCAGATGATCCTTTTGCTTCAGCCTTCCAAGTAGCTGGAACCACAGATGTGCATGAGACGAGGTCTTATCAAGTTGTCCAGGCTGGTCTTGAACCACTGGGCTCCAGCGATCCCTCCGCCTCAGCCTTCCGAGTAGCCGGAATTACAGGTGTGCGTTACCACACCCAGCTAATTTTTTGATTTATTGTAGAGATGAGGTCTCGCCTTCCCAGGCGGGTCTCGAACCCACAGGCTCAGGCAATTTACTCACTTCGGCCTCCTAAAGCGCGGGATTACAGGCTGAGCCACAAAGCCCGGTTGAAATAAGTTTTTAATAGAGAAGGAGTGAGGAAATCCATCTCTGGCAGACAATCCAGTATGCACAAGGGTCCAGAAGAAAAGGTAAACACCTTCAAGATAACTGAATGCCGGGTGCGATGGCTCATGCCTATCATCCTAGCACTTTGGGAGGCAGAGGTGAGAGGACTGCCTGAGCCCAGGGGCTCAAGAGCAGCCTGGGCAACTTGGTGAGACCTCATCTCCACAGTAAATCAAAACATTAACCAGGTTTGGAGGTGCGCACCTGTAGTTCCACAGTGATTCACAACTGCAATCCCAGGACTTTGGAAGGCTGAGGTGGGAGGATTGCCTGAGGCGAGGAGTTTAAGATTATAGTAAGCTATGATCATATTACTGCACTCCAGCCTGGTGGCAGAGCAGAGACCTGTCTCTAAAAAAAAAGTTCTCAGTAAAATGAACATTTTATTTATTTTTTTGAGTCATGTCTTACTCTGTCACCCAGGCTGGAGTGCAGTAGCAGATCACCACTCACTGTGGCCTCAGGCAATCCTTCTGCCTCAGCTTCCTGCTGTGTTGCCTAGGCAAGTCTCAAGCTCCTGGGTTCAAGCAATCCTTCCTGCCTCAACCTCCCAAAGCACTGGGATTACCGGTGTGAACCGCTGTGCCCAGACTAAAAAAAAAAAAAAAAAATTTTAAACAAAATCTCTGGTGACCGGGCTTGGTGGCTCAGCCTGTAATCCTAGCACTTTGGGAGGCCGAGGCAAGTGGGTTGCCCGAGCCCGTGGGTTTGAGACCAGCCCAGGCAATATGGTGAGACCTTGCCTCTACAATAAATAAAAAAATTTATTGAGGCCAGCCTGGGCAATTTAGCAAGACCTCATTGCTACAATAGATTAAAGAAAAAAGATAACTGAGTGGTTCATGAGGCTGTAAAATAATGGCATAAGAGAGAAATGTGCTGCCAAGGCAAAACTGTCTATAAAAAATCAATATAGAGTCATGGGAAAAAAGCTACAGAAAAGACTTGAGCCCTGCAAAGTTGCAGCTATGGATAGAAATCAACCTGTTGTTTCTAAGTTTGCTCTCCTCCTTGCATAATTGTTTGCACAGTCACTTCAACAGAGAGCAGTTGATTATCTTCATGCCTTGGGGGAGGGGAGAGTGGCACAGACGTTGATAAACATATTTTCCCTTAAACAATGAGCCTAACTTTGCAAAGAATCTCCTGATGGAATCCTAAATTTTGATCAGTGGAAGGGCAAGAGCAGCTCTAATCTTCAGGGATTCCATCCCTGCATACCTCCATCCTAAACTACCTCTCTAATGGCTTATTGCCCGGGGATCAGTAGCTGATGATGGCAGGACTTGTTCTGTAGACAGACTCTGTTGTAAAACTTAAGAGTGATGTTTGAGTTGTCTTTCAGACTGCATTCTGATAGACCCAAGACTCCATCCAGACCTGGGTCACATACCAAGGAGGTGACTCTGCTGGTCCTGTGATCCCTCTTGCAAAAACTGGTTCTGCCTATAGACAATTTCAATAACCTCCATGGTTTCACCCTCAAACAATCAACAGTGTGTGCTCCTTAGACCTCTGCCAGCAAATTTAAAAACCCTGGTCTAAAATTTTCAGGGAAGCGAACTTGAGAAATATCTCCTGTACTGCTCAGTGGCCTTGCATTTATTAAATGCTTTCTGTATGGCAACGACTGCTGTCAGTATATTGGCTTTTCTGTACAGTGGACATAAGAACCTGGTCAGACTGTAACAAGGGTAAGTCTAAAGACTGGACTATTGCAAGGATATCACCAAAGGTTTCCCAATGATAAAAGTAGTACAATCTGCTGTGGGATATAGACTTATAGATTCAAAAAGGCTATTTGACTATATAAAAATCTGCATGTCCAAAATCAAATATAATCTTGCTTTAAACCAGGTCTTATAGTGTCCCATATCTTAGTGAAAAAGCATTATTGTCCATCAAGTTACACAAGCCCAAACCAAAATTGATCAAAGCCCAAGAGTCATTTTTGGTATCTTCTGCCTTCTATCTATATCTAACACTAAGTCCTATCAATTTTACTTTCAAAATTTTCACCATGATACATAATGCTTGCTATCCACATGCACAGTCACCACCTCAGGAAAAACTCTCATCCTCTCTCTCCTGGACCACTCATCCTGACCGATCTACCAACATTTCACTTCGGTTCTCACTGGAGCTGGTGAAATTCTTTTTTAAAAAGTCCTGGCCAAGTGCCAAGTATGGTTGCTATGTCTGTAATCCCAGCACTTTGGGGAGTTAAGGTAGGAGGTTTGCTTGAGTTTAAGAGCAGCCTCGCCAACATAGTGAGACCCTGTCACTATTTAAAAAAAGAGACAAAGTCCTAAATCACTCAATGCTTACATTATTTTAGTAGTTTCCTCCAACTTTAAAAATAAAGAATAAGAATCTGAACATGGTCTTTATTTATTTATTTATTTATTTGAGTTGGAGTCTCACTCTGTCACCCAGACTGGAGTGCAGTGGCTGCTCC